GCCCAAGAAGCCTCCAAGACGGCCCAACACGACCCAAGAGGCCTCCAAGAGGTCCTCCAGGAGGGCCCGAAGAGGCCAAAATCATTGATGTTCCATCGGTTTTTGAAGGTTTTTCGTATTTGCTCCTCTTCGGCTTTCCGACGACCCAAGACGGCCCAAGAGGCTCCCAAGATCGCCCCCACAGCGCCCAAGAGGCCTCCAAGATGGCCTCAGGACTGCCCAAGAGGCCCCCAAGACGGCCCCAAGATGGCACAAAGACGACCCAAGAGGCCTCCAAGACGCCCAAGATGGCCTCTAAGAAGGCCCTGGAGCACCCCAAGAGGGCCCCAAGTCGGCCCAGAGAGGCCCCCCAAACGGCTTCCGACGGCGTCGCCAGGAGCCCACCAAGATGACCGAAGTTGGCTCGAAGCTGGCCCACTACGGCCCAAGAGGCCTCGAAGAGGGCCTTCAGGCAGGCCAGAAAAGGCCAATTACGCTACCGAGGAACCCCACATACTGATTTTATGTCTTGTGTGAACCGCGCTACCACTACCACCGCCGTCACGCTCTCAGGTGCCCCCTGTGGTCGTTGAAAGGAGGGGGAGGACGTGTGGGGGGGAGAGGAGGGGTTGAGGAGTCATCTGTGACGGTCATATCCGGCGTCGCCTGGCACTTGGATACGAGAGGTAATACGCAATCCCGCACTAGAGGCTATGCTTGGACGACCCTGGCACGCATAGGGAGACCACCCCCTGCGCACCCCCTCTGGTGTCGAGAAAATGCCACGCCTGCTATGCCTGGACGACCCTGGCGCGGATAGGGAGACCACCCCCTGCGCACCCCCTCTGGTGTCGAGAAACTGCCACGCCTGCTATGCCTGGACGACCCCTGGCACGCATAGGGAGACCACCCCCTGCGCACTCCCTCTGGTGTCGAGGAAATGCCACGCCTGCTATGCCTGGAAGGCCCTGGCGCGCATAGGGCGACCACCCCCTGCGCACCCCCTCTGGTGTCGAGAAACTGCCACGCCTGCTATGCCTGGACGACCCTGGCGCGCATAGGGAGACCACCCCCTGCGCACCCCCTCTGGTGTCAAGGAAATGCCACGCCTGCTATGCCTGGACGACCCTGGCACGCGGAGGGCGACCACCCCCTGCGCACCTCCTCAGGTGTCGAGAGGGGGCCACGCCTGCTATGCGTGGACGACCCTAGGGAGACCACCCCCTGCGCACCCCCTCTGGTGTCGAGGAAATGCGACTATGCCTGGACGACCCGCGGATAGGGAGACCACCCCCTGCGCACCTCCTCAGGTGCTCGCCTGGACGAGGCGGGCCACGCCTGCTACGCCTGCTATGTGGACGACCCTGGCGCGCATAGGGAGACCACCCCCTGCGCACCCCCTCTGGTGTCGAGGAAATGCCACGCCTGCTATGCCTGGACGACCCTGGCGCGCATAGGGAGACCAGCCTGCCTGCGACATAGGGAGACCACCCCCTGCGCTCTGGTGTCGAGGAAAATGCCACGCCTGCTATGCCTGGACGACCCTGGCGCGCATAGGGAGACCACCCCCTGCGCACCCCCTCTGGTGTCGAGAAAATGCCACGCCTGCTATGCCTGGACGACCCTGGCGCGCATAGGGAGACCACCCCCTGCGCACCCCCTCTGGTGTCGAGAAATGCCACGCCTGCTATGCCTGGACGACCCTGGCGCGCATAGGGAGACCACCCCCTGCGCAGCCCCCTCTGGTGTCGAGAAAATGCCACGCCTGCTATGCCTGGACGACCCTGGCGCGCATAGGGAGACCACCCCCTGCGCACCCCCTCTGGTGTCGAGAAAATGCCACGCCTGCTATGCCTGGACGACCCTGGCGCGCATAGGGAGACCACCCCCTGCGCACCCCCTCTGGTGTGGAGATGCCAGCCTGCTATGTCTGCGCGCGTGCGCATACGGGACCACCCCCTGCGCACCCCCTCTGGTGTCGAGGAAATGCCACGCCTGCTATGCCTGGACGACCCTGGCGCGGATAGGGAGACCACCCCCTGCGCACCCCCTCTGGTGTCGAGGAAATGCCACGCCTGCTATGCCTGGACGACCCTGGCGCGGATAGGGAGACCACCCCCTGCGCACCCCCTCTGGTGTCGAGAAATGCCACGCCTGCTATGCCTGGACGACCCTGGCGCGCATAGGGAGACCACCCCCTGCGCACCCCCTCTGGTGTCGAGAAAATGCCACGCCTGCTATGCCTATGGACCACCCCTGCGCACCCCCTCTGGTGTCGAGAAATGCCACGCCTGCTATGCTGGACGACCCTGGCGCGCATAGGGAGACCACCCCCTGCGCACCCCCTCTGGTGTCGAGGAAATGCCACGCCTGCTATGCCTGGACGACCCTGGCGCGCATAGGGAGACCACTCCCTGCGCACCCCCTCTGACGCCTGCTATGCTGGACGCGCAGCCCCTCTGGTGTCGCGCCATAGGGAGACCACCCTCTGCGCACCCCCTCTGGTGTCGAGGAAATGCCACGCCTGCTATGCCTGGACGACCCTGGCGCGGATAGGGAGACCACCCCCTGCGCACCCCCTCTGGTGCCATGGCCCGCATAGACGCCGCGTTGTGTGCGTTGTGTGTGTGCGCTTGTGTTGTGGTGTGCTGTGCTGTGCTGAGCTGTGTGCTGTGCTGAGCTGTGTGCTGTGCTGAGCTGTGCTGTGCTGTGTTGCGCTGCTTGTGTGTTTGTGCCGCGCTGTCCTGTGATACGCTGTGCTGTGCTGTGCTGCGCTGCGCTATGCTGAGAAGAGCTGAGCTGAGCTGTGTGTCGTGCTGTTCTCAGCTCCGTGCTGTGCTGAGCTGTGCTGTGCTGTGCTGAGCTGTGCTGAGCTGAGCTGTGCTGTGCTCTGCTGTGTGAGAAGGGTGGGGTGGGATGAGGTGGGAGGTGTGAGACGCGGGTGCGGCGCGGCAGGGAAGAAAACCAGAACCCCACGAAGCATGTGGGGAAAAACATTGATGTTCCTTCGGTGTTCGAAGGATTTTGACATTTGCTTCTTTTCGGCCTCCCGACGGCCCGAGAAGGCCCAAGAGACCCCAAAGATCGCCCAAGGATCGCCCAAGAGGCCTCCAAGATGGCCCTAGAACGGCCCAAGAAGCCCCCAAGACGGCCCCAAGAGGCCCCCACCACGGCCCGGGAGGCTTTTGAGACGCCCAAGATGGCCTCCAAGACGGCCCTGCAGCATTCCAAGAGGGCCCCAAATCGGCCCAGAGGGGCCCCCCAAACGGCTTCCGACGGCGTCGGACGGGCCAGGAGCCCACCAAAACAGCCGAAGATGGCACTAAGATGGCCCAAGACGGCCCAAGAGGCTTCCAACAGGGCCTCCAGGAAGGCCCGAAAAGGCCAAAATCATTGATGTCCCATGAGTGTTTGAAGGATTGTGGCATTTGCTTCTTTTCTGCCTTCCGACGGCCCGAGACGGCCCAAGTGCCCCCAACGATCGCCCAAGAGGCCCAAGACGGCCCCAAGAGGCCCCCAAGACGGCCCAAGAGGCCGCCAAGACGCTCAAGATGGCCTCCAAGACGGCCCAAGAGCCCTCCAAGACGTCCTCCAAGAAGACTCGAAAGGGTCAAAATGGCCTCCAGGCGGCCAAGATGACCCTCAAGATGCCCACGTGTTCCCCGAAGGCTTTCCAAATCGATTCGTGGAACACATGGTCCGATAGCTTGGCAGATCTGGCCTCAACGTTCGGCCACATAGGCGCTTACACATAGGCAGGGGGCGGCGGTGATTCGCCGCAGGCGTCTTCGATAAGTCCTCCCTGTCGCGGCACAAGACGTGTCCGTAGAGCGAGGGCGTCTCACCTTGGACTTCCTCACAATATATTATCCTGAAGCTTGAAAGTCCCGGCACTTACGAGGATGGAGAGCAGTACCCTTTCAGAAGTAGGGCACTCGCCTTAGCGCCGCGCGCATTCGTCTGAAGAGCTTGCAGCACACAGGGATAGGGGCGGCTCCTTCTCAAAAAGGGACTCTCGCCTTGGCACCGCGCAGATTCACACGAAAAGCGTGCAAGAGTTGGGATGATGGAGGATGGCTCCGTTTCATACTTGGGCGCTCGCTTCAGACTTCCTCAAAACTAACAGAAGCTTGAAAAGATTCGACTGCTACATGAGCGGAGGGTGGCTCGTTTCCAAAATAAAGTTCTCGCTTGAGACTTCCCGAAGCTTAATGACCAGAAATGTTACAAGTGTGCGGCAATATCATAGGTGTGGGGGCGTCCCTTCTCAGAACGGGGTTATCGCTGGAAACCTCACTCGACTTTATGACCCTAACTATTCACATACTGTGCAACTCACTCCAGAGGTGCAATGTTGGTTCTTTGCAAGATGAGGCTCTCGCCTGAATGGCAACCCCATAGGATGCTCACCGTTCAACGGGGCACTTGGCGCAGTGAAAACGATGGCTCCTAGATACTTTTGAGGAGTTGCAGTACCGCTGTTGCATCCTGGATATACCAATACCATGGACATCCATCCTTCACCGCGTCCTACCTACCCTCTGAATCTTAAAGTACTGTTCATCATCTCCTCCAAACTGCTCCTCCTCCTCCTCCTCCTCCTCCTTCTTCTCTTGCTGCTCTACTCGGCGTCGCCTTCTACCACGTCCCCCGTTCCTCCTCCCCGCTCCTCCCCGCCCTCCATACTCCTCCTCCTCCTCCTCCTCCTCCTCCTCCTCCTCCTCCTCATCCTCCTCCTCCTTCTCTTCCTCCTTCTTCGCTCGAAGCGACTTTGCTGGCACGGGGGCAATGTCGAGGGGCCGAGATGGCCCCATCGACGCCCTCCCTCCACCCTCCCATCCTCCTGCTCGTGCTCCTGTTCTTCCGCCTCCCTGCAGCCCTCCCCCCCTCCTCCATCCCCCATGCATCCCTCCGTTCCGCCCTCCCCCCTCTCCCCTCCCCATCCCTCCTCTCTCTCCCATCGTCCTGCTGTCTGCTGACCCCCTCCGCACAGAACCCCCCCTCGACACCGACCGCTGGGCCTGCTTCGGCTGCTCGAACTGGACATTCTGGGCGCAAAGACGGGACGGAAGCGGGACGAGGAGCAGCAGCAGCAGTAGGAGCAGGAGGCAGCTACAGAGCCCGACATGGACTGCAGCCACGGTTTCTGTGGAAGGGCTCAGGGGAGGGCGGGGTCAGGGTGAAGACCAGAGCAAGGATATGGGTAAGGGTCAAATTCCCAAAATGAAGCCGGAGGTCACCAGGATGGGTTCCCAGTAGATGGGGCCAGAGTATCGTGCCGCATCGCCTATGCATCGGCGATTTAACGGCGACGTCTGGATGGAACGAAAAACAGGGTCCGAATCGAGCCGCATCGCCGATACCGAGCCGCATCGCCGATACATCGGCGATGCGGCGCGATGCTCCGGCCTCATCTTCCCGGACCCCATTTGAGCGGCCTGGAAAAGCCGTCAGCTGTTTCGCTCACCTCACACCCGCCCTCTCAGCATGTACGTCGCACTTCAGACTTATCATGGGCAACGACGGCCATTCCATCAACAGCCATGGATAACCAATACAGATGCCATGCACGCCAGCTGCATCAAGTGTCGCGCCACGTGGGCCGAGCGCTCCATCTGCGGCACATGCGCCAGGATCGCCAATTCTGCCAGGTCCTCAGAACACCAGTGTCATCCAATGCGAACGTTCCCGAATCACACTCGTGCCCACACCCTGGCAGACTGCTGCTACACGGTTAAGGCGCGACGGTAATTCGTGTCACTTCTGGTCAGGAAAGATGTGGAGGCGCACAAACTGCCTGGTGCGCATGCTTCGGAATCGTGCTCTCGCCCCGGCGTTGCTTGCATGTTCGCAATTTGTAGTACTTTCCGAATAGCGTTTCGTTACAAGGTTCTAACAAGGGCCAAAGTCTGCGCCCAGAGGATCGCTCCGTGGTGGGCCACCTGATACCGTCGCACTGTGTTTCCCGAGTGCGTTCCGCATGTGCGCAGTGCGCGTTCACTCGAGGACGGTGCCGCCCCTCCCCTCCCCCCGCCCTCCCCTTGCCCTCCCCTCCCCCCGTCCCCCTCCACCCCACATGCAGTTCGGGCGTTTTGCAGCTGATCTTTCAGCAAGAATGGCAGGGAAGAGCCGCTTTGACCCTGACCGGCGGCACCCGAAACCGGCAGGGGTGTTCCCTGCAGTCGGGTATCTCTGTTGGGGGCCTGCGCACTTGTGGGCCAAACCAGCGTGTCATCGATCACGAAGCATTCCTGGTTGATGCCCAAAGGACCATCGCCCCGCTTCAGCTCTTCAACCCACGTCCAGTCCGCCTCGAGTCCGCAGAGGCCGTTGTCACTGCACGGTCGTTCAGTCTGCCAGGGCGTGGCTGCCCGTAAACTCGATGACCCAGACAATGCAGCTCTGCCAAACAAAGGGTCCCAAAGTAAACGGAAAGGCGGCCGAGGCAAATGATTCGGGCCGCACGCCCCGTCTCGCGCGCGCGGAGGAACGGGAAGAGGGGCGGAAAGGAAAAAGGGGAGGGAGGATGGGGAAAGGGAACAAACAGGGAATGGAGGGGGATGGTGAAGCAGGAACGAGGAGGGGTAAGAAAGGAGAGGAGGAAAGAGGAGGAAGGGGAAGAGGAAGGGAATGGAACGGAGAAGCCGAGGAGGAGGGGTCACTCATCTGTCCCGCCGCCCCATTTTCCTGTCGGCAACTGCCGATAAAGGAAAGAGCAGGAGGAAGACAAGGAGCGAAGCGTGAGGAACGAAAAGGCAGAAGAAGGGAGAAAAGGAGAAACTCCTCCTCGGACGATAAGGGCGCTCCCCCAGCGTGTTCCCTCCTGCGCCTCTTCCCTCCTCCTCCCTCCTCTTCCCTCCCCCATCCGCCTTCTCCTCCTCATCATGCTCCTCCTCCTCCTCCTCCTCCTCCTCCTCCTCCTCCTCCTCCTCCTCCTCTTTGCCCTCCTGCACCTCTTCCTCCTCCTCCTCCTCCTCGTCCTCCTCCTCCTCCTCCCACCCCTTCCTCCTGTCTTCACATCATCATCACCATCAGCACCATCGCTATGACCATCACGATCACCCACCATCCCCATCCCCATCATCATGATATTATTCGTACAGTTCGTATTACGCTTGTTCGTATCATCATGAAGAATAGTGTTCATATGAATATTAATAGTATTATTAATAATATTACTAACGGTATCATTTGTAGTACGACTATTATTTTTAGAAGTAGTATCATTCGTATTACTAATGGTATTGTTAGTCTTATTGTTGTTATTAATATGATTATCATTATTCCCCACATCCAAAGTGGGGCTCTTGTTTTCTCTGGACACCCCGCGCAGGAACAGGAACCCACCATCATCATCATCACTCATCGCTCACTCACTCACTCACTCAATCATAATCCCTCAAACACTCACTCACTCACTCACTCACTCACTCACTCACTCACTCACTCACTCACTCACTCACTCACTCATCATCACTCACATATGATGATGATGATAAGTGTGCGCGTGAGAGAATGTGATGATCATCATCATCATCACCCGTCAGTCAGTCAGTCAGCCAGTCACTCACTCACTCACTCACTCGCCTTGGGCCTCGTCTGTAAATGAATTATGAAGAAGTCTCAGGCGGGAGACCCCTCCCTATGGGGCCCGCGGATTATGTTACTAATCCGAGTGGGTCATCCAATTCCCGTAACTGTCGCCATTTGTGGGCTCTCGCGCTGCCAGAACGCCACTCCCAGGCCACATTCCGAATGCCTGGAGCCAACTGTAGACCATTTCGTGTTTTTCGTGTTCCCAGAACACCAGGAATGCCTGCAAGGGCCCCCTCCTTATGGGGCCCGCAGATCATGTTACCAATCCGAGCGGGTCATCGGAAAACCGTAACTGTCGTCACTTTTGGGCCCCTGAGGCTTGAATTTGGAGGAAGTATCAGACGGGAGCCTCGTCTGTGAGTGAATTACAAGGAAGTCTCAGGTGGGAACCCCCTCCCTATGGGGCCCGCCTTTCACGTCACTAATCCAAGCGGGTCATCCAATTCCTGTAACTGTCGTCATCAGTTTTGGGTTCCTCAGGCCTGAATATAGAAGAAGTCTCCAGCGGGAGCCTCGTTTGTAGTGAATTGCGAGGAAGTCTCAAACGGGAGCCCCGTCCCTATGGGGCCCGCAGATCATTTTACTAATCCGAACAGGACATCAAATTCCTGTAGCTGTCTTCAATTATGGGTTCCACAGGCCTGAGTATGGGGGAATTCTCAGGCGGGAACCTCGTCTGTGAGTGAAGTTCGAGGAAGTCTCAGGCTGGAGCCCCCTCCCTATGGGGCCCGCGGATTATGTTACTAATCCGAGCGGGTCATCCAATTCCTATAACTGTCGTCATTTCTGGGTTTTCGCGCTGCCAGAACGCCATTCCCAGGCCGCACGGGCATGTCGGATGAGCAATGGTGGCTGCATCTCTACGTCATGTTCTCCCGCGCCACGTCCATGCGGAACATGCTGATCCTGCGGCCGCCGCCGCGGGAGTTCCTGGAGCGAGGGCCGCCGGCGTCCCTGCGGAAGGCGCTGCTGGAGTTCGACAAGAAAACGGTTTTGTCCAGGGCGGAGGCGGAGCAGCTCGCGGCAAAGCTGGGTTTCGTGCCGTATCCCGCCTGAGCGTGGCTGCGCCCCGCTCGAAGCCCGCGGGGTTGTCCCAACGTTTTGGTCTTGCGCGCCAACGGCTCGCGGGGTTGCCCCGACAGCCTGGCCCGCGGGGTTGTCCCAACGGCTGCGCGACGCGGCCATCAGAGAACCCGCCAGTGCTGGCCGAGGCGGCGACGGCGCCGAAGAACATCGACTTGCTTGCCCCGACCAGGGGGAGGGGGAGGTGCACGTAGAGAAGCGGCAGGAAGAAGATGAGGAGGGGGAGGGCATGGGGGAGGGCGATGATGAGGAGGAGGTGGAGAAGGAGGAGGGGGGTAGAAGCAGGGGGAAGGGAGAAATTGAAGAAGGAGGGAAAAGAGGGCAGAGGAGAGGGCGAGAGGAGGGTGTTTGCCATGGCCAGGAAGAAAAGGAGAAGGGCACGCAAAACAGATTATCACGCGGGGTCCTTAGGTCGGAGTAATTACTATTATAGTAATATGATTGTCGTTGCTACGATTCCCTACCTAAGCTGTGCCTATAAGAACTTTTACTCGCTTGGCCTAAAGGGGCCGGGCAGTGCAAACCGCCCCAGGCAGTTCCCCCAGTCCCCTGGGAACGAAGCGAAAGCAACAGCAAAGGGAAAAGCAAACGCGCGGTTCCCCCGGTTGCGCTCCCTGGGTACCAAGCAAAAGCAAAAGCAATGGCAAAAGTGAAGGCACAAGCGAAGGCAAAGCAAAAGCATAGCATAGCATAGCATAGCATAACATAGCACAGCATAGCATAGCAGAGCATAGCATAGCACAGCACAGCCTAGCATAGCATAGCATAGCATAACATAGCGCAGCATTGCATAGCGCAGCATAGCATAGCATAGCATAGCATAGCCTAGCCTGCATGTGAGTTCGGCGGCCGCCTGTTGCAAATCGACTGCGAGCACATCCCTGCTCAAATGCGACGGCCGATTGTTAACTTGCAGCGTTTCTGCTACAAGATCTGCGAGTTGCGGAAAGGGAACCAGTCACGGCGATCTGTGTACTACTGGTTATTCGAAACAGTCCCTGCGCGCCAAGAGTGGCTCGGGCGACTCCACGACAGCGGGGAGGTTGTGGTCACACCACCCTGGTGAAACCGCATATTCCAGCGCCGATGATGCCCGCCAAAACAATGGTGAACAGCTTGTTGCACCGATCTGGGAGTTGCTGCTGCTGTACAGTTTCGTAGGAACGCTCGGTGTAGCAAGTGTTGCACAACCTTGCTCAATGCCAAGTCGTGCAGTGTAGGCCGGACCCGGAGCATTCTCAAGCACACCCGCTGAGCGAATGCAAAAACATGCGTGTGTGTGTGTCTGTGCGCAGGCAAAGCAAAAGCATAACCAAGCAAAAACAAAAATATTCCGACGGAAGGACCCCACATGAGAATCCTCTGGGCGAATCTGGGAAAAGCCCTCATCGTCGTCCTCGTGGTTGGTGAGGCGTCCTGGCTGTCTTTTCTGCGAATATTTTTTTTCGCCCTGGCGCGGGCCCTCCCCCCGCTCCCTACGTTGCCCCCGACCTCGCCCTCCTGTTTTGGCTCCGGACATTCAAAAAATTGCAAGGAATTTTGTTCTGGGAACACGAGGAACACAAAGTGGCCTACAGTTGGCTCCGGGCATTCAAAATGTGGCCCGGGAGTGGTGTTCTGGGAGCACGAAGAACACGAAGTGGCCTACAGCTGGCTCCGGGCATTGAAAATGTAGCCTGGGAATGGCGTTCTAGCAGCGCGAGAGCAAAGTGGCGACAGTTAAAAGAATTGGATGACCCGCTCGGATTAGTAACATGATCCGCGGGCCCCATAGGGAGGGCGTTCCCGCTTGAGACTTCCTCACGATTCACTCACAGATATGGCCTGGGAATGGCGTTCTTGCAGCGCGAGAGCCCAGAAGTGGCGACAGTTATAGGAATTGGATGGCCCGTTCGGATTAGTAACATGATCCGCGGGCCCCATAGGGAGGGCACTCCCGCTTCAGACTTCCTCGCGATTCACTCACAGATGTAGCCTGGGAGTGGCGTTCTGGCAGCGCGAGAGGCCAAAAGTGGCGACAGATACAGGAATTGGATGACCCGCTCGGATTAGTAACATGATCTGCGGGCCCCATAGGGAGGGGGCTCCCGCTTGAGACTTCCTCGCAATTCACTCACAGACGAAGCCCAAGGCGAGTGAGTGAGTGAGTGAGTGAGTGACTGACTGACTGACTGACTGACTGGTGATGATGATGATGATCATCACACTCTCTTACGCGCACACTCATCATAATCATATGTGAGTGCTGATGAGTCAGTCAGTCAGTCAGTGAGTGAGTGAGTGAGTGAGTGAATGAGTGAGTGTGTGAGGGATGATGAGTGAGTGAGTGAGTGAGGAATGAGTGATGGTGATGATGATGATGATGATGGTGGGTTCCTGTTCCTCCGCGGGGTGTCCAGAGAAACCAAGAACCCCACTTTGGATGTGGAGATCAAAAGCAAAGAAACAGCAACAGCAAAAGCAAAAGCAAAGGCAAAAGCACAGGCAAGAGCAAAAGCAAAGGCAATGCAAAGCAAAAGCAACACCAATGCGAAAGTGTAGATGTAGATGTAGATGCAGGTGTAGGTGTAGGTGTAGGTGTAGGTGTAGGTGTAGGTGTAGGTGTAGGTGTAGGTGTAGGTGTAGGTGTAGGTGTAGGTGTAGGTGTAGGTGTAGGTGTAGATGTGGATGTAGGTGTAGGTGTAGATGTAGATGTAGATGTAGATGTAGGTGTAGATGTAGGTGTAGATGTAGATGTAGATGTAGATGTCGATGTAGATGTGAGTCTCGCTGTTTATGTAGATGTAGATGTAGATGCAGGTGTAGATGTAAGTGTAGTTGTAGGTGTAGGTGTGCATGTACATGTAGGTCTAGATGTACATGTAGGTGTCAATGTAGATGTAGGTGTTGATATAGATGTTGATGTACAGACCTCCCCAGCGCCCCGCCCTCATCTCCGTGCCTGCTTGCTTTTTGCTGCTGTCTCGGCGACTTGCTGCCTGCTTCTGATGCTGCTTCACTTAAGGCGTGGCGTCGGCGGTTCTGGCGCCACTACTACTACCACTACTACTACTACTACTACTACTACTACTACTACTACTACTACTACTACTACTACTACTACTACTACTACTACTACTACTACTACTACTACTACTACTACTACTACTACTACTACTACTACTACTACTACTACTACTACTACTACTACTACTACTACTACTACTACTACTACTACTACTACTACTACTACTACTACTACTACTACTACTACTACTACTACTACTACTACTACTACTACTACTACTACTACTACTACTACTACTACTACTACTACTACTACTACTACTACTACTACTACTACTACTACTACTACTACTACTACTACTACTACTACTCGGTCCCGTGCACCACATCACCACGGCTCAACCGCCTTGGGATGAGCGTCCTTGTGGCTGCCTCATTTCCAGTATGTAGCGAGCACCTCTTCTGGGTGAAATGGCGGGTCTGACGTGCATGCAGCGGCGGGCGCTCATCCGAGGGCAGCTGGTCCCTACGGCCCAAAGTAAAGCGACAGCGGCGGCACAGCAGCACACGGGACGACCCCAGCACCGCCATCGAGGCCAACTAGCGCAAGTAGGCGCGAGAAGAGGCCAGGATGGCAAGCCAAAATGGCTAGGCGCACAGCGGCGTCACGGCAGCGCACGGGGCGACCACAGTACCGCCGACGAGGCCAACGAGCGCGAGTAGGCGCGAGAGGAGGCCAGGATGGCAAGCCAAAATGGCAAGCCAGAATGGCTAGGCGCACAGTTGACCGTGCGAAGAGCGGAGGCCTAAGCACCAGGGCCCGCAGCGCGAGGGGGGGCACCACTGTGGGCGCACCCGCGCAAGCTGGCAAGGCGGCGTCGCTAAAGTTGGAGCGTAAGCGAGCATACAGGCTCAGCATCCTTGAGAGTGGCAGGCTCGGGATCTTAACATGGACTCACGTAGCCTCCCCGAGGGCTTAGAAGTATACGATGCTGGGGGCCTGCCGAGTCTCAGCGTTCAGGCGGACTGGCCTGTTCCCTACTACTACTACTACTACTACTACTACTACTACTACTACTACTACTACTACTACTACTACTACTACTACGACTAATACGGCTACGACTACGACTACTACGACTACTACTACTACTACTACTACTACTACTACTACTACTACTACTACTATTATTACTACTACTATTACTACCAGTCCTACTACTACTACTACTACTACTACTACTACTACTACTACTACTACTACTACTACTACTACTACTACTACTACTACTACTACTTCTACCGCTACTGCTACAACTACGACGATGAGGAGAAGGAGGAGGACGGCGTTTTCCGCTCCTGCTAATGTTGCTTTCCTAGAGGCTCCAACTCCTAGGTAGGGTCGCGTTGGGAGAATTGCTATGATTAATATATTATCATTATTATTACTATTCTAACTATTGTTATTACTATTATTATTACTGTTAATCATATTATTCGTGTAATTATTCGTATTCCCCATCATCATCATCATCATCATCATCATCATCATCATCATCATCAGCATCATTATCATCATCATCATCATCATCATCGTCGTCGTCGTCATGATCTTCATCATCATCAGCAGAAGCATCAGCAGCAACATCATCATCAAAGCACCGTCAGTATCATCATCGACAGCATCAGCAGCATCAGCATCAGCATCAGCATCAGCATCAGCATCATCATCAGCATCATCATCAGCATCAGCATCATCATTATCAGCTGCATCATCGTCATCTTCATCGTCATCAGCATCAGCATCAGCATCAGGATCAGCATCCTCATCATCATCATCATCATCATCAGCAGCAGCATCATCAGCGTCATCATCATCAGAAGAATCATCATCATCAGCATCATCAGCATCATCGTCAGCATCATCAGCATCATCATCGTCAGCATCAGCAGCATCACCATCATCCATCGCCACCATCATCATGATCAGCATCATCATCAGCAGCAGTATCATCATTATCAACATCAGCATCAGAATCATCAGCATCATCATCATCGTCATCAGCATATTCATCATCATCAGCATCATCAGCAGCATCATCAGCAGCATCATAATCATCGTCAGCATCACCACCACCACCACCACGATCATCACCATCATAACCATCATCACCATCACCATCATCACCCTCATACTCACCATCTGCATCCTTCCTTCACCCCTTGTAATCCAGGCTTACCCAATGTTCCTTTCTCATCTCCTCTCATCTCCTCTACATCCCTCCATCTTACTCTCCCTCCATCCTTCCTCCCCCTTCCGCAGTATCGCTCATCCCTCCCTAACAGGTGGCCCGTGGCCCGTGTTATCCTGTGGGCGACGGGGGATGGAGGCGCCCCTCCGAGCAGCTGCTCGAAGAAGCCCCGCGCCGGCGTCACCACAGAGCTCAACAGGAGCGCCTCGCAGGGAGAGGGGAGGTAGGGGCAGAGCACGGGGAGGAGCGGAGAAGTCACTGAAGCTCAATGGTCGTACCAGGTGCGCGCAAAGAAAGAGGAAAGCGAAGGGCCGTGGCTCTTATGCAGGACGGGGATGAGAAGGAGGAGGATCACCTGCGTACACTCGACGTACGCTCCACGCAGGGGTGCCCGGGCCGAGAGGGACGGACTGGCGGCCGCGCAGGCGGTGGAACAGAAGCGCGAGCGCTACCCTCCGCACGGAGGAGAACTGGTCCCTCTTGTCTTCGAGACGGGGGGCCGGCCCAGCGACGAAGCAGCCAGCTTTGTCCGCAGTTACGGAGCCGGTTTAGACGACGCCGACCGCTCCGAGCTGCTGGGCGGTCTCTGGCGGCAGATCAGCAGGACCCTCCAAAGGGGAAATGCTGAGATGCTGCTGAGCGCGCTCTGGCGCCAAGCCCCATGGCCCCCGCGACAACGACCAGCGCCAGCACGACAGCCGCTGCGGCAGACACAAGCAATACGACCAGGACAACGACCAGAACGCGGCGGCTACCATCAACCACCACTGCGGCCACCACCACCACCGCCACGCGGGGGCCACCCCTACCAGCCACTACGAACACCACCAGCATACCGACCACACCTACCAGCCACTACCAGCAGACCGACCACGCCTACCAGCCACCACGACCACCTCCATCACGACCACCACGACGACCGCCACCAGCGCGACCACCTCGACCACCACGACCACCACCAGCATGACCACCACCACCACGCCGGCGCACGCCGCCGCCCCCCGCCCCCCTCTCCCTTCCCCCGCCCTCCCCTTCCTCCTCCTCTCCCCTCCTTGCCTCTGCCTGGCCGGAATTCCAGCGGCCTGCAGGCCCACCGTGGCCTAGCAGGCGGACCGCTTCCTTCCGGCCTGCCCCCTAGGTCCCCTACGGGGGTGCCGGTCCCTCCCCGAGGGAGCCTAGGGGGCCGTGACGCGGGAGGATGAAGAGGACGAGGAGGAAAGGACGACATAGGAGCATGTGTTCCAGCATCTCGTTTCGGACGCAGTCCTACTCTGTTCTCGCGGGAACCGCGCGACCTGAGGGCACTGCCCCTCTCTGCGATGCGACCAGGCCCGTACACCTGGCAATGCTGACGTCCTGGCGGGGCGGGCCCTTCATGGCCAACCAGGGGGGGGATGCTGGGAGCCGCGCAGCCTGGACACCGCTCTCCACTACCACGCACCTAGGCCCATGCTCCTGGCTGTGCGTGCCAGCTGCACTGATGACATCCTGGCAAGGCAGTTTTTCTTGTTCCGCCAAGGGAGGAAGAGGGGGCGCTTTGAGCATACGTTGCCAGCGGTCTACCCACGAACGAATCGTAGTCATGGGCGCCTTCAACATGGCGCGGGATCTTCCCAACCACGCAAGCTGCACAGGCAGATCTAAAGTTTCGCGCAGTGAGGGAAAAATAACTGCAGGATCCGCCGCATCGTTGGCATTTGGGCCCCAGCCTTTTTCCCCGACCCATCGACTGCCAGTACCCAGCTTGATTCCGAAAAGCTCCTAGCTTGTCAGTCGAAGCATCGGCAGCATGCGCCGTGCAGGGTTACTCTGCAATGTCGTTCGCGCGGCTCTTCGAAATATATCCTTCAGCGCGCGGGCCAAGCTAGACAGGCGGCACCGACATAATCATGCTGCCACTAATGCGGTGTTCCACGTCGCCCGTTGGACGCGCAGCCATGCTTCAAGCCAAGATATGGAATATTCGGTGATGCGTCTCTGGCGTGCGAGAGGTGCGATACATGTCCGGTTCAGTAAGGAGCTGATGAACTGCGCACGAATCAGCACGCGCTCGGCAACCTCCTCGCGCACATTAGTCGCGGAGATGAAGCCCACCGCATTGACCCGACCGCGGCATCTAAATTGCCCATCCCAAGAGAGCGCGCGCGCATGCCAGTTGCCCCACCAAGCCTCCTCGAGATATCGTTGCGTCGGCGCTTCTCACTTGTCCAAGTGGCTGTCGGTGCGTTTGGCACAACAATGCCCGAAGCCTCGCGCTTTCAGGGCATGGTCAATTTTGCGCCACAAGTCGTTATCGCCGCCAAGCAATACGCTCGCCGTGTAGACGTCGCCACGCCCACTATCACCGAGTCGCCCCCGCAAATCGCATAGCCCCCTGTGCAAGCCAGCGGGTCGATCAAAGCGCGCATCTCGGCACGCCTGTTCGAGGGCCTGTTGATGGGAATATTCGCTCCTTCGCCTCGGCTTCCTTTCCCGCGCACGCAAAGCGTCGGCTATCTGGCACTTGTCGGCGCCACCCCAACGCAAAGCCGGCGGAGCGCAGGCGGGCCCCCCACGGCGCGGAAGGGCGGCTTCGCCAAGTCGTTCCGCGGGAGACCTCAACGAGGAAGCGGGAACAAAAGTGGCTCTTTCTCTCGCCTGGCCCCACGAGCGTCGCGACGCATCGCAATCGGCCCGCGGCACTTACAAGTGGCACCCCTCCCAGACGCCGTCGAAATACATCGCCCCAATCAAAAATTCCGGCGGTCACCTCTCTCTCGCTCTCTCTCTCTCTCTCTCTCTCTCTCTCTCTCTCTCTCGCTTTCTCTCTCTCTCTCTCTCTCTCTCTCTCTCTCTCTCTCTCTCTCTCTCTCTCTCTCTCTATGTATCTCTCTCTCTCTCTCTCTCTCTCTCTCTCTCTCTCTCTCTCCTCTCTCTTTGTTGTTATATCTCTCTCTCTTTCTCTATCTCTCTCTCTCTCTCTCTCTCTCTCTCTCTCTCTCTCTCTCTCTCTCTCTCTCTCTCTCTCTCTCTCTCTCTCTCTCTCTCTCTCTCTCTCTCTCTCTCTCTCTCTCTCTCTCTCTCTCTCTCTCTCTCTCTCTCTCTCTCTCTCTCTCTCTCTCTCTCTCTCTCTCTCTCCATATATGTTTATCCTCTCGCAGCCGAGAACGCACGCAGAGCGTTCTAGACCGCCCCGTTCCTGCGCGGCGCAGCGGTTCCCATATCTCCCTCTCCACATCCAACGCGACCTGGTCGATCACCCCCGCAAAGCCCGCCTCGCGCTGGTCGTCGGCCACGGCCGAGCGGTCGATCGCGGCGCCCACCCAGTCCGCCGCCGAAACTGAGCCCGCCCCCATCTCCCACGGCTGCAGCGCGGCCATCACCCCCCGGCGGACGGGGGGCGAGCTTCAGGACGCTGCCCCCGAAATCCCACAAATGTTTTCAACTGCGCCCTCGGGATAGGCCAGACGCAAAAGTCTCCCATTGTCTCGATAGCCCGAACATTGCGCGCACTGCGCGTTGTCGTCGCCCTTGCTGGCCCATCCACTCCCGGGCGTCGATACTCCGCGGCCGCCTTGACGTTGGCGCCTTTCCCTGCCAATATCTCTCCGACGTTCGCCGCGCTCTCCCCTCGCGGGCCACACGCCGCAGACTGCCCTGTCATCTGGAGGTTGTCTTGTTGTCTTCCTACGTCTGCATGCGCAATGAGAAGAAAGACTCCACCATGCCCGACCCCACCGCTGCCGCGCCTCGGGCGGCGGGCAAAACGACGTGGACAAACACAGAAATGCCCCGCCTGCCCCCCGGAGCCCCGCCCACGCGACGCAGACAGATGGCGCTGCCAAGAGACCGCCTCGCCTGGACCCTGCAGACAGCACTTTTCGCGCCAGCATGCCCGCGGCCCGAGGGCCCCCGCAGTCTGGTTTCCAATGGCCCGGCCGCTTGCGCCACGCACTCGCGATCATCCCCACATCCCAGCGCGCCCACAACGTCGCCGCCAGGCGATTGGAACATCGCACCATGTAACTAACTGTGCCCAGGCACTGCCGAAGTCAACGCTGCTCCAACGTAACGCACCTGACCACTGACTTGTTCCGGGCTGCGTGATTCCCAAACACCTGCAGAACCAATTCAAGAGTGCCGACGCTCTGCCTCTACCTGTGCCGTAGAGCTCTGCCCTCGCACGCAATTGCAATTTGACCCCCATTGCCTCAAATATTAACCATGGCCAAGCTATCTCAGCGACACGTTCGACGAACATGGTCACGAACGCTCGACGGCCCCTGGTGGCCAAACGGCTGGTCCGACACGTTCACGCAGTCGACTCACGCCTCGTTGCATAGTGAACCTCGCGCGTCGTCTGGCTGATCCCGCCCGAGCGGCGCAGGATGCCCCACTGCGTGACTCCCCAGCGCAATCGGCATGTCGATGCCTTCCGATGATTGGCCCTCTGTCTGGACGCCAATCGCGCCCGCTGGCGAATGCCCCCCCCACCCCCCACCCCCCCACCCCCCATTTTCAACAACACTTCTTGCTCTATATGATTGCTGCGCTTGCGCACCGACGATTGACTCCAGGCGTCGCCCACGCCGCGCACAAAAACCCCTTCGCACGCGCCCGACGCCCAAATATCGAGTCCGCCCGCGGCGCCGGCGACGTCTGCGGGACTCGCAAGATCTGCGCGCCATATGCGACGTGAATCCCGCCCATCTATGCCGAGCCCCCTTTGACCCCGAATCTGAACGCGCAACTTTGTCGTGACTGGCGCTTCCTCATCGACGGCAAGGATGGCTTCCAGCGCGCGCGCCCAGCACGTCACGGCTGCACTGCTCCGCTCGGCGAGACGCGCCAGGGCGAACGCGCTCAGCGCACCAGCGGCGCGATGCCGCCATGTCGCTTTGCAGTCCACGGAACTGGACGCCGCTGCCCGCCCCCCTGAATATCCGCGATCGTCAACTCCCCGGCTTCAACCCGACCACAGGAGCGCGTCCTATCGCGGAGCGGGATCTCGCTGACCACGCAATCGCATCTCATCGTCGCCATCGGCCTAGCCGCCGGTATGGCCGCCTGGAAAACGCGCGCGGACCCGCGGCTCAAGGTGGACCTCGCGAGCGAAGCGCCTGTCATAGCGGCGACGCACTGGCCCTGACCGACCGAGCAACCCAACGAGGCGGCGACGCACGCTCCTCGACCCACCGGGCCACCCGCAAAGCGGCGACCACGCGG